TTCGGCCCAATCATTCATGTCAATCAGCCTTCGGCCCAATCGTTCATGTCAATCGGCCTTTGACCTAATCATTTATGTCAATGAACTTACAAAACTTACATATAAGTAAACAATTGGACAACAACATATTTCAAATATCTTGTTAAGATATTACTCATAGTGATTGGCTGATTGATCTGCCCTGGAGTTCGGCCCTACACATACCATGAACACAAAAGGGTCACTAACAATTCAATCCGTTCTAAATTCACATTTTTCCTTTTTAGGCCTCATTTTTACCTCTTTAACTCAATTACAATGCTCAATGCATGCCTACGAGTACTTAGAAGTGAAAGAGAACGGAAAATGGAACTCAGAATGCCCTTTTCAAAATTTCAAGAAACATGGTCCCCGCTCGAGCATGGACTTCCCCGCTCAAGCGGACCCATGAGGCCCGCAAAAGTACTGGGTATGTCGAATTTACGCTCGATCGTGCACTCTAGTGCTTGAGCGGAAGGCCTCTCTACATGGCTCCCCGCTCGAGCTTGAACTTCCCCACTCGAGCGGACATCCATGTCTGCAAAAATACTGGGAGCACGAATTTCCCGCTCGAGCGTCTATTCCCCCGCTCGAGCAGACATAAAAAATTTTGGGTTTTCCAGAACACATTCTTGAGCTTCAACTTGATGTTCAAAGGTTCCAAATGCATCATTTTGGCTCAAACTTCACATATATATATATACTAGCATGGTATAAACACTAAATTACATCATTATAAAGCTCAATTTCACAATTTAACCACATGCATGTCCCAAATTAACCCAAACTCATCACCAACACATCAAATTCAAACATGCAAAGCTTTCACCTCCGTGATCTTCACTTGCATGTGGGAGATATTTATTATTCTCAACTAAATTGATGAAGAAATGATCAAATACATGGATTTCAAATAAGATTCATCATGGATTACACACTTTGTGCTCAATTATGGAAATTCATAGCGATTTCCTACATGCATGCATCTATGGACTTTAAATTCAACAAACACAACTCAATCCATAGTCTAACTCACTAATTAATCTTCGATCCCCAAAAATTACAAATCAAACTCATGAGTCAAATGGTTGATTACTCACCTAGAAGCTCAATCTCCCCAATGTATGCTTAATTCTTGAGTTCAACCTTCCAATTTTTCAAAGTTGAGCCAAACACATAATTTTCCCCCTTGCTCCTTCTCTAGCCGACCCTCTCCCTTCCTTAGAGTTTATAATCATCCAAAATGAAGATAAAAGGGAGAAATTGAGTGTATAGTGCCTTTATTAAAAGCCCCTTTGGTCACATTGTTTTAATATCAAATAATGGGATACTAATTCGCTAATTAAATCAGTTTAATCTGACCCGAATCAATTTCTAATTAAATTTCACCGTAGGTTCTAAAAATTATGCCAATCACAATAGCGTAATCAATTTCGGTTTCGGTGGCCGATAGGGCCTTCAATTTAAATTCCAAAGCAAATAATCAAACAGATATTCCTACGGTGAACAGATAGAAATTCAAAACCACATATTTTCACATAATGGCACACAAAATCATATCGAAACACATAATTACATTTGTATTAAGGACCAATTAGCATAATAAGGGACATGGTTATTACATAGTGAGTGCATTCTGAATGTATTATCATCCATGCCTATGACTTACCCCCTACAACTTCCCAATATTACTGAAAGTTTTACTACTCCAGAGATTTAGTGGCACACCGTAACATGTAAGCCAAACAAGCCTTTCCTGTTCAATAGCCATCCCCTGTTTCCATTCCTTGATTGACTCACTTCACTCATGAATCCATGCCTCCATTAGTTTTAATTTCTTTTTCATGCTTTTTATTGATTCAAAAGTCAACACTATATCTCTACTTCCTCTATCTCTAGCCTGAATGTCTCCCATACCTCTAATCTGCAGCTCCTCTTTAAACTTGGCCTCACAGCTTAATGGCTTGAGTCTAACAATCGCACTATTGTATAGCCAACCATTGCATTCCTCAAAAGCATTTACAGTAATGCTTGTATTGGTCACTATCCATTTTCCACTTACAGCTTGTTCGTATGGCTTCCCCTTTTGTACCATAATTGGAGCTTTACTAGTGTTACCAATCTCTCTCCTTACAATTGGTGCTTTTAGTGGCCTCTGTTTTTCTTCCTTATGTTTGACAAAATCTGTTGCTTTTACTTTCAATGCTTTGTTGTCACACCAGAGTCCATGTGCTTTCTAGACTGCCATCTTTGTTGCCACTGGCTAGGCATAACATACAAAACCAAATCTTGATCGCGTCATCTTCCTTCTTTTGTTTGGGATGAACACATCCTTTACAATCCCAATGTTGGTAAATACTTTATACAACCCTTTTGAATGTATAGATTTTGGCAGATTATCCACAAAAATTGTGTGAATATCATTGTCCATTCCTTTGTTCCTCTATCCTTGATTTCCATGCTTTTGCAACACTGGCTTCCATCCTCCTTCCATTCTCCCTTTTCTACAACCACAAATTGATGTTATTTTACTTGAGAGATGCTATGATATGTTTCAATTATTTCATGTAATTTCATTTAGTTGATTAAAAAATAGGTAAAATAAGATTTTGAAGGAATTGTAATCCTTTTGTTTTCTATTCGAAATAGCTTGAATTTTTTTTTTTGGTTTATTAATTTGGAGCCAATTTAGAAAGCAACATTTTTTTATTTTGAGTTTTAAAAATAGTTTTTGAAATTTTCAATTCATATATATATATATATATATATATTATTTTAATGATTTTTTTAGTCCATTTTTAATATATATACATAGTTTTATGATAATTAGTGGTGTTTTTATAAACAATAAAAAAAAAGGTCACTAATTGTTAGTTTTTAGTGATGGCTTAAAAAATTCGTCACAAAAAACCATCACTAATTGTTTGTTTTTGGCGACAGATTTAGAAAAACGTCACTAATTATCAGTTTTAAGGACATATTTAGAAAAATGCCACAAAAACATCACTAATTATAAATTTTTAGGGATGATTTTAGTACCAACTTTCAACAATTGATAGGATTTAATGGGAATTAAAGTCCAACAATTAAGACCTGTCGATAATTTACTCTAAAATCTATACAATAACAAATAAATAAATATTTAATGCATCTCTTATATTTGATGCAATTCTAACTTTTCAAATCATATTTATGAGAAGATCGGTGGTTTCTCCTAAATTGTTGCTTGGTTCCATTTTTTCAAAAATACTTTTCAGAAAATTCTAGTTTCTTGTTTTTCGTATTTTTTTTTTACTGAATTTTTTAAATATTTTAAGCAATTTTTTTTTAACTTTTTAGCTATACCTAACATAAATATACCTAAAAAGTAAAAAAATTGTGAAAAAAACCTTTTAAAAAATTACTAAATACCAAAAATACAAAAAAATACGAGAATTCAGTACATTTTTTTTTATATTTTTATGTATTTAATAATTTTTTAAAATATTTTTTCACAATTTTTTTACTTTTTAAATACATTTAAGTAAGGTAAAACTAAAAAGCTAAAAAAAAATGTTTAAAATTTTAAAAAAATTCACTAAAAACAAAAAAACACAAAAAATCAAAAAGCTCACTTTTCAAAAAATTTAATCCAAAGCACTCAAACCAAACACACTATGGTTTTTTATTTTATTTATGGATTCCTTGTTTTTCGTTGTTTGCTCTTTGTTGTTTAGTTGTTTATAGTTTATTGTCTAGTTGTTTGTTTAGCCTTTTAAGATCTTGTTATTTTTCTTTTGTTGTATCTTGTTGGTTTATTTTAATATACCTGCTTTCATATTCTCAAAAATAAATAAATAAATAAATAAATAAAATGAAACGAAAAAAAACTAGTTCAATATGTTTAAATTTTGTGTAGTAGTTCCAAATTTCTAAAAATATCAATAAAACAATCTTTATGAATGAAATTTTTTCATAAAAAAACATATAATTTCAACTTAATTCCATTTCACAATAAAAAAAAAAAATATATATATTTTTATCAAACAAAAAGATCAGATTTTTTAAATGGGAAACAAAAAGATTATGTTGCCTCCAAAATCTTATTTTACATATCATTTATTCAACTGAATGAGATTATATAAAGAATTCAAAAATGTTTCATAAACTATATAAATTATGAGTAGTGCTACATAGCCTGAAAGATTAGACTCAGTTTCAAACTGAAATACATGCCTGAAATAACATTTTCCTTAAAATGTACCTGGATTGTCTCCGGTCCAAAATCGGCATGGACAGTCTAGTCTAGCCCATTAAGCCCACTTTTAGTCTCTATTTCAATAATCTGAAGTATTTACATCTTAAAATTTGTCAAGTTCATCATCCCTGTGAAAACTCAAGTCGATCAGATAAAAAAAATCATGTGTTTAGATTAATTTTGTACGAATCATTTATTTTCTCACTGTCCATTTTTTTTTTTTATACAAAACTGATTTGAACACGTGGTTGCCATTATTCGATCGACTTAATTTTTTACAGGGATAATATACTCAATGAATCTTAAAATATGAATAGTTCAGATTATCGAAATAGGATCCAAAAGTGGGTCTATTAGGCAGACATCACCTCTCCACTATTTAGGATTGGAGAGAAGCCATACGAAATTTGCACACTAGTAAATTATGTTTTTTTATTTTTATTTTTTATATTAAGGCTAATAAATTATGTTGTTGAATGAGTAAATCCCAATAAACCACGTAATTCTGTATAATAATTTTATACGAACTTTATATTTGTGTAGCACTACTCTTAACTTAATGAATACAAATTAAACACAGCTATGAACTATAATAAGGAAAACAGAAAGCGCTATCAATCTAATACAATTAATGTAAAAATGCATGTGAATCGCAATTAATGAACCAATATTTGAAAAAAGTGCAATTAAGGAAGATTTGGTCAATTGCAATAAAACCCGAATTTTTGTTTTTTGTTCAAATATCTATATAAAAAATCAAAAAAGAAAAAAAAAAAAAACGGAGAGAGAAGAAATGAAGTAACAAGAGGGTGTTACAACCAAATCATTTTGCCATTTTAAATAGCTGATGATCGTTTACAATTTTCATAATGCTTTTTTGAGACTGGACACTGGCTTTAAACCATGTTTTAGTGCAGCTCTCCACACTAAATCAATTCGATCCACATCGATTGCGCCAACTTCATGGTGAGTCCAACCTTCCAGGAGATGAATCACGCCACCTGCATGGCATGCATGGACTACTCCTCTCTCCATTGTGTACTGTTCACAAGATGTCAAAGAAAACAAAACAAACAAGGTATTATATTAAGTTTAAATAACTTGTTTAATTTGCAATACTTAGAACATATTTGGGGGTTGCAATTAGTAAAATTAAAATTAACTACTATTTTTTTTTTTTTAACAATTAGTCAAAGCTTAATAAAGTTTCTCCATTCAAAAATGTGTATTACATATTCGATAGAATTTAAATCCTGAAATTCGTACCACAATAATATCTATAATAATTTCTATCATATTAAAATTGTTAAAACAAACTAAAAGCAATATCAATGTGATGTCTCGGGTCTTGGACTCGAATAGTATTGTGTAGTAGGATAGTGTACATTACTTGCAGCATTTTATTTATTGTATTGGGTCATTGATATTTCTTTTCTATTCTTATTTAACCTTTTGTAACCTTTTGTGTTGAAAATTTTGAGTTTTGGGCATTGAAACTTGTCTTGGGTTGCAAAATCAAATTATGAGTTTCTAAGCAAAACCGCTCATGCGGATTTGGCAACCGCTCGAGCAGATCATTCCAGGGTTTTTTAGAGTTTTCTAGGCAGAAAACCACTCAAGTAGATTTTGGGTCCTACTCGAGCGGATTTTGGTGAATTTTCTAGGTTCCTCTCTAGAGCAAAATGCCTGTGGAGGCAAAAAAATCCGCTCGTGCGGAATTCAAACTGCTCGTGCTTATTTCGGTGCATCTATCTCAAATTTCGTGTTCTTTTCCTCAAAACTAATGCCAAAAACGTGTTTTGTATATATTTTCACTTCTCTCTCTCTCTCTCTCTCTCTCTATACTCATCTTTTCTCTCCTTTCTTTCTACAAGCACATCCAAATCCAAATTTCTCTTTAAGGTTTAGCTCAAATCTTTAAGAAATTGGGAGGACTTTTTACACCAATTCGAAGAGGGCAACAAGGGCTTTTTACTTGGTGTGGGTCCCACACCCATGTAAGATATTTGATAAAACATTAGATAAAACATTTGAGGTTCTTACCATTTTTCTTGATATTATAAATACAAAATGATGCTTATTCGGCTTGAAAATTGTGATTTTTATTATGATTTAGAATAGTCTTAGGACTACACTCAAAATAATGTTGGGTAATTTTTAAATTAGTGAAAAAGAAGTGCATAAAATATGCATCGGTGTCTACAAAACCATAGACATATAGTTAGGGAGAAATTTTAATTCAACATAAGTTCTAAAAGAAAATAAAAAAATTCAGATTAAAGATAAATTTTGCAAATATTAATAATTAAAGTTATAATCTTTTTTTTTTAATAAATTTATAATAACTTTTTGAAATTATAACTGAATGACAATTTCCCAGTAGCTAGCCCTAATTACTTATTATATGCATTATTATGAAAAAATTAATATTGGTGCAAGTATATATATTTATATAATACCTCACAAGAACCAAGGCCTTCCACGTCATGAGGTAACTTCATGGCAGCAAGGTCACCATAAGTGCAGTCTCTTCTGAAGGCCAAAATTGGTGGAACCACAAATTGGTGAAAGTGTGCGCCTGATGGTGCCCAACTTTGCTCTCTTGGTGTTATCCACTTTCCAACTATCCATGCCTAACATTCAAAACACACAACAAAAAGCAATTATTATTTTCCATTTAAAAGTTAAAACATAATCAAGAATTCAAATACATTTTTCATGTAATTCTCCCCTTTTCTTTGCCTTACATATTCTTTTATTCCTTTCCATTTTTCATACCCCATAGGCCACTGGAATTGGGGACGCTGCTGTATAATTCGCACAGCAACAGCTGCTGTGCAGCGAAATGGGCTCATTTTGGAGCTTATTTTGATAATCTGAACCGTTTATATTTTAGAATACATCAAGTAGAACATGCTTGTAAAAAATTAAGTTAATCGAATATCGTTTACCCATTCATACACTCACATTTGTATTTATTTTAATACTTTAAATCACAATTATTATTTATTTTGATAGATACAAATGTGAGTGGATGAATGGGTAAATTATATCTGATTAACTTGATTTTTTACATGTATGTTCTACTTAATATATTCTAAAATATGAACTGTTTGGATTATCAAAATGGGCCCCAAACTGGGCCCATTTCGCCGTATACCAGTTACTGTTGCGCGGATTATGCAGTAGAATCCCCAATTCCAGGCGACTTCTGAATTTTTTCTTCTTCTTTTGTTCTTTTATTTTTATTTGTCTTTGTGTCTTCTTCTTCTTCTTTTCTCTCTCTCTCTCTCTCTCTCTCTCTCTATTCAATATTGTCTTTACTAGAAGTAGAGTGTGTCCATGATTATTACTTAATGTGATTAAATGTGGTAAAATTAGAATACATGGTTAGTGGTCACATTCGTAACCAACCATAGTTATTACACAATGTAGCCGGTGACATCATTAACATTAAATTTGTAACTTGGCTACATCCTTTTACAATTAGCGGGTATGTATTATAAATTTATTTATTTAATTTTTATTTATTTATTTATTTTTGAGAGTAGGATATGAGTACAAATTCATGAGTACTTGTCAAAATGAGTCATTTATTAGAGAAAAATATGTCAAGTTTTACAAAATTGACATAATTATTGTTAGTAAATGTGATGTGTACATATATATATTACATATTATAATTAGGTCTTACCATATTATGATATTTCCATAACTTTCTTATTGCCTACTCTTACCTTACCTTACCTATATATAGGCCTCTTCATTGTATTGTAAGTGACACAATTATATAATACAAGCAAAAACATTGTTGGGTTTTTGAGTCTTAAAGTCTCAATGTAATTTTCTCAAATTATTGAATTAAAAAATTATAAAAATACACATGGCACATTATCATTGGTTCTTCTATTTTAATATTTTAATTAAATCCTTGATTAATATGGAAAATCTTTTAAATTTATTAATCTATGAACTATTTATTTATGGTATCTACTGTCATTACTATTTATATCTATATTCTATTTCTATAATTTAAATTTCAAAATTACTTACATGGAAAGTTAAAAAATGAATTTTAACCATATCTTTTATCAAAATTTAAGTCATATTTAATTTGAAATGAAAAAAATTTTAAAATAATATTTCAAATGGAATTTTATCCTTATAAAATTTGAACATATTTATATTTTTTTAAAAAAAATAAAATATAAATGTGGCATAAAATACGTGTGGCACAAAACTATTGGCGTATCGAGCCATACCAAACTTTAAATTTTAAAAAAAATGCAAATAGAATTTTAAAATAAAAATTTAATCATACTTAACCCCACAACTGATTTAAAATATAGAACAAAAATCGAAATGAAATTTTAATAATAATTTATAAAAGTTATAAAATTCAAGTATATATGTCCTAATCCTATTAAGAAAATATGAAATTAAAACTTCAAATTTTAAATATAAAGTCTAAATTAATAATTAACACTTTGCTTTTCTTAAGCAAGTCAGTCAAAAACACAACATATGTCTGGTCTAATATTAGATAATATTTTTAAACGTAAATATACTTTAATATTAATAGGATAGACACTAGTTATATTTTACGAATAAATATATAAATTTCATAGTTAAAATTTTAAAATATTAATAAATATGCAAAAAAAAAAAAATTTATATACATATTTCTTACAAGTAACTCATAGATTGACCATCTGGTAACAATTCTCCAATAACTGAATTTAGGACAATAATGGTATAAAAGTCAACCAAAAATTGCTTTTCAGGCTATGTTTAGTGCCTAATCCAATTGTAATATTCCTAAACTAACACATGCTCATTACAACCTACAAAATTATTATATAATTTTAACTAATCATTTACCGAATGTTTGGTCATTGATAGATAAATCTTCTTAGCTAGATCTGGGCATATGATTATAACATGACTCACGGTGTATCTAAGTTTGGTTTTGGATTTTTTTTTTCGTACATAATTATATCTAAATTTAATTTAATAAATTTAAATTTTAATAAATAAAATTTTACCCAAGTTTAATTTCTTTTAACAAACATGCATAAATATGTACATATTTGTTATTTTCATCATGACAAATTATTTGATGTATGTATTTCCCAATTTAAAATATATTTACATAAATAAGTTGGTCAAGTAACTCTTCAATTTGTATTGGTTAACTTAATCCTAACATGGTTCATGACAGTTCAATTATCCTATAGAATTTTACAAATCTCAAAAATACTCTTACTCTTTAAGATCAACTTAAACTTATCCTACCATATCAATTAATTGTTTTTCTAAATGGCAACATGTCTCATAGTAACTACCATATCAATTAATTGTTTTTCTAAATGGCAACATGTCTCATAGTAACTGGAGCAATGTTTCTAATATAGTTATTGAAATAAATATAAAATTTTACATTATTTCTTTTTTTAGCATACCTTCAGCCATGAAAGCTCACTATTATCACCCTTACAAGTTCTTTCTACAACTAAAATTCACCACAACAATCAAAACTACATATAAAAATTAAAGTCTTTTTAATAAAATATAAAAAATAAAGAAAAATAGAGGGCAGATGGAAGAGAGAGCTAGAAATACTAAAAAAATAGTATTCACCAACTTTGTTTCCAGAAAATTAAGTTATTTTTTTTTAAAAAAATTTCATACTTTTTTTTAAGTGATTATTTTAATATTTTATGCCTTTTTTTTTTTTGTGAAGATACATTTAAACTAAATACGCTAAAAAGATATAATATTTGTGAAAAAAACTTAAAAAATTCACCAGATAAAAAATATAAAAAAAATGAAAATTTAATGCAATGGCATATTTTGTTGTATTCAATGATTTTTTTAAAAGATTTTTGTACAATTTTTTTACTTTTTATGTATATTAAAATTAAGTGGATCTAAAAATTTAAAAAAATTGATTACAATATTTTTTTAAAAATCATTAAAAATACAAATGAAAAACTCAAAAAACTAGTTTTGAAAACTCAAAACCAAACAGGGTGTTGTTATTTCATTTAACAAACTTTGATATGACAATTTATAATTATTTTATAGACAAAATATAATTATGCTTAACAGAAAGTAGTTTTTGTAATTTATGCAAATTTATTTGTTTTTATTTTTACTAATTGAATTACGATACATGTATTTGATTATATTGCATAATACTAATAGAATGCTTGAGTAATGGCTGAAACTTAATCTTATCCATTTATAGTTTTTTCAAATTATTTCTAATTAATTTTAAAATTAAATTTTGAATCACTGTCTAAAACGGTGCATAGTACAGGCTTTACGCTAGTATTGAATATATACATAATATAATATTCGATTTATCTCTCTCTTATAGATATTGTAATATAGCATCAGAGTTATGTTATGCATCTAGCAATTTCGCTTCACCGACTTGTAACATCCTTTCCTTGGCCGCCCATCGAATCTCAACCCATTTTGTTGTCATATATATTTTTTTCAATATCGTTTCGCAGTGATCTTCCCATCTATCCATTGGTTTCTCTATGTTCTTTAATCAGCCAAAGTTTCCCAAAGTTCTTCTGCGGCTCCTACCTTTTCAACACCACCAAACTCCATCCTCGGCCGCCATTACCGACAAACTTGTCGGTGCCTCACCTCTCGCCGACGATGCTTTGTTTTCTCTCTGACTTCTCTGTTTCTCCGTTGTCTTCAACAAGGTCCCTAACCCCTATGATTTTTCATACCCAACTATCTCTCTTTTTCTAAAGCTACTCTTGCTTTCTCTCTCTTCACCCATTTTATATTCTATTATTTTATCTTATTCTTATTCCATCCCACCATCACCCACAAACACCCACAAAAAAAAAAAAAAAAAAAAAAAAAACACAATTTTATTTATTTACTTTTTATAATCTGCTCACATGGTTTGTTTCCAATCTTCAGTCACTCTTCATTTAAAAAAAAAAAAAAAAAATTATTTTCTAATTTATTTATTTATTTTTGCAAACATCATCTCTCATTTCCATTCCACTCCACTCTACCTTTTCTTCTCTTTTAACCTCAAATAGGTTCCTATCTTCAAACTTAATTAAGTTTGGGAAGAGAGGGATATTATACATATATCATAGTGAGTATGGTAATACATCAAGCAAACCACCTAAGTTGCCCATTAGCCCACCACCCAATCAGCCCTCTGGCGCACTATCACTTAAGCCGTCCCTTGGTGTACCACTTAACCCACCTTCCTTGGCACACTTCTTAAACCGCCCCTTGGCCGACCACTACCTAAGTTGACCCCTTAGCGCATCACCTAAGTCACCATCACATAAGTCGTCCTTTGGCGTATCATCCAAGTAGCCCCCTAGCGCACATAGTTCCTTTCCAAACCGCTTCCTAGTACACATGGTTCCTTTTTGGTTGAGACTTTTGGTCTCAGCTTCTTCTTCAACGATCAGACACGATCTCACCAAAAATTATCTTTCGACATTAGCCCCAACTGCTCCTACAATGGTCCGGCAATACCATAAACTATCTTCGAGCATTATTATTTTTATTTTATTTATCTAGTTTCTATTTACAAATGCCAGTTAGTCACTTTGCAACCATCTTGAGTTTGAGAGGAGCTGCTAGTGAATACGATATATATGTATATTTATTATATTCACCATATCTATTAGATGTTATTTTCATAGCTTTCTTATTACACACTCTTACCTTGCCTATATATAGGCATCTTCATTGGATTGTAAGTGACACAATATTGAATATACACATAATATAATATTCTCTCTCTCTCTCTCTTAGATATTGTAATAGGTGTATTAGACTCTCTTAAGATTTTAGTTCACATATCACTTAATCTTTTTTTATCAGTAATTTGTTAATAGTTGGGATAAAAAAGTAAAATTGTCATGACTTTTACATTGATATGTATATTTGACCCTTGTTTGTCCTTGTATTTACAAGTTATTTGTATTAATTTCGGTCACTTTAATCTTATTTGAAGAGATGTCAATATAACTATGTTTATTTTATGGAAAAAATTATATATATATTTTTTAATTCTCACGTTACCCTATCTAAAATTGTTGTAGAGATCCTGTGAAAAATTGTGTACCTTACACTTTTGGGCAGCATGATACTTAGTCACTTGGACAAGGTACTTTTGAACTTCTGCTGGAGCTTCCTTTTGTATGTTTTGAAATCTTTCAGTTGACAAAGTTAACATCTGCAATGTGTCTCAACACAATTGACATTTATAAATAACAGAACACTTAATTTTAATAATCATAACTTGCAAAAGAAAATGTTTGATTGTAATTAGCAAATTTTTTATTTAAAAAAAATACTTGTGAATAGTATGTTTGGTTTTAGTTTTCTGAATTCAGTTTTTTGAAAATTAAAGTTTTTTATTTTTTGTGCCTTTTATTTTTAGTAAATATTTTTAAAATTTTAAGCAATTTTTTTTTTAGATGCACCTTACTTAGATGTATCTAAATGGTAAAATATTTGCGAAAAAATATTTAAAAAAAATTAATAAATACACAAAAATATGAAAAATGCATTAAATTTTTTTTTTGGTATTTAGTGAATTTTTTAAAGATTTTTTTTCACAAATATTATACTTTTTAAGTGTATTTATATTAGGTGTATCTAAAACTTAAAAAAAAATTACTTAAACTATTAAAAAAAATCATTGAAAACAAAAAATATATGAAAAATAAAAACGTAAAATTTTTTGAAAAGTGTTTTCTGAAAACCAAAACCAAACAAGCTGATATGGCTAAATTAATCATAACTTACGAGGACTCGTACTCTCCTTCTGCAAAGGTAAAGCGCAATTGCTCTCCCAAGTTTTGAAGTTGCTCCTGTTAAAAACACCTCCTTAACATCCTCAGAGATCTCATTAAGGATTACCGCTGCAGTTAAGGTATTGCCATGGACAACTCGAACCCTAAGGTTTGGATGTTTGTTCACAAAGAGCGTTCCACCGCCATTGAGAGCCTCATTCTAAGTTCAAAAAAGATTTCAGAATTAACAACTTAAATTGATATCTAATGAAAAACAAGTGTAATTATGTATAGATAGAGAAGGTTGGTGGGTATTTCAAGCAATAATTTTTTGAAGTACATTGGAAAATTGAACATTGGAATTATATTATCTACTAATCATCTTTTTGATACATCATTAAGTCTAAAAAGTAAAATTGTATATAATTTTCCTTATATATTTTACTAGCCGATTGTGGTAAAGTCACTCAGGGGTAAAATATTTTTTCACTTTGGTAAATTGGGAAATTCCTCTTTCTTTGTGTTTTTCAAAGTAACCAAATGCATAAAAGCAACCAAGCACAGTGTTGATATATATATATATATATATATAAACATATAGAAAATTCATACAAATAAAGTAGCATACGTGTCTATTCATTTCAACCAAAAAATTCATTAAAGTAACTTATAATTTTTAAAATATCATAATCATATTCTTGTGAAAAGAAAAATTATGAAATTTTATTTTGCAAATCATTTTCCCTGTAAGTTATTCTTCTGATTTAACTTCCTAACAATAATAGATCCACGTGGCCTCTCTTGAAAAATTTTCAGTTCTTTCATTGACTGAAAGCACCACGATGACATCACATATTGCTCCAAAACTATTAATAATGACCTTAGCCTAATACAAAATCACCATGCTTGATCAATTGATCCTTAAAACCAATGTCAAAATTTATAATATTTTTGAAATTAGAATGACACAATCATGTTAAACCTTGAAGGGCTGGCTTTTTTTTTCAGTCCATGATCAAATTAGAGGGTATTATTAGGGTTAAGAAGGCTTGTTATGGATCCCGTTTTGATAATATTAATCGTTTAATGTGTAAAACTCGTTGAATACTATATATTTATAAAAAAATTACATTGATCAGATTTCGATAGTTATTTTGTCGAATTAAATTTTTGTCAACTGTTTATTTTTTTACTATCCATTTTTTTTGTATAAAATTAATTTAATCACATAACTATTAATATCCGATCAACGTGATATTTTATAACTATATAATATCCAATAAACTTTACATATCAACGATTCAAATTATTAAAACACAACCCTTTCAACGTGGGGAGAAGCCGGCCCCAACCTTTAAAATCACGTGATCGTGTAACTTTTGATCATCATTGCATTACAGATGAAGGGCCCATTACCCAACAATGACTTTAATGTACGTGGTTGACTTTAAATTGGACTTTTAATGGATTGTGGTTGATCTGATCTGCTGAGATGGGCATACAACTGGCCATACACTGTACCAAACCCGTAAGCCCACCCTATACCCTACTAAAAATTAATGCTCGAAGCTTACAAGTACAACTACCCCATTGTGTTATTTAAGTGTTGCATTTGCTTTTGATCCCTACCTAAAATATTAAAATAATTCTAGATACGCACTGTTATGTATTTCGAGTTTATCTCGAATAAAATAGTGTAATTATGATAGAATTTATATGACATAAGATTTTTATATAAAATAAATCTGAATCATAAAATAATAATTTTAAATAAATTTAAAATAAATAATGATAAATTTATAGTATTACTCAAAACATTACCCGCCTCAAATAAAATGACATAGAACTAACTACACAAATGTATCATCCTCCAATGACATAAAGCTTTTTCTTTTTTATGATAATGACATAAAGCTAACTACACCACATTTGTCATTTTGCAATACATATTAAATGGTGATATGCCATTGATGGCCCATGTTCATATATTGGTGTTTGGTAATTTTTTTTTATAAATATTTTAATTATATATATATATTTGCATGTTTTAGATTTATTTAATCTAAATACACTTAAAAATATAAAATATTTGTAAAAAAATCTTTTCAACATTCACTAAATAATAATAATAATAATAATAATAATCATTTTTTATGGGCAATTAAACAATATATATATAGTATTTTGTTGACAAATGTCTTTCATTTTCTTCTTATTTTCCTCAAAATATGAAAAATAATAATAATAATAATTCCAATTTTATATTTGAAAACTTAAAAATAAATAGAGTTTGAATATATATATATATATATATTTTATCAAATTTAATTGTCATTGTATTGATGTAATAGAACTTACAAAAAATATATTATATCAATACATGAATGACGTATAAATTGACACACATTATGATAAATAAATTTAATATTACAATTTAATTATGATAACATTTTTTTTTGATCGGCATTAATTATCGCAACATTAATCTACCTGTAAATCTACAAATGAGAACAGATAGGATAATTTATAGCTAGCTTACTCTTTAAGAGTACGCCAAAGGGAAGTTTCTAAGTAATTAAAGTAGGTGAACTCGCAACCGTTGCTGCTGGGACAGTAGGGGCTACAAATTAAAATGAGGACCCATACATTTTATTTCGATCGTGAGGTGAGGTGAGATTAGAAAAAGAAATTATTGTAATTTCTCACTTAAGTAACAAATGAAAAGGAATGATTATAATTTTTCACAATTATATTTGGATGAATAAAAGCGATGAGTATTTGATTTCTCATTTATTTTATTTAGATAGAGTAAATAAAAGATAATAAAAGAAAGTATTGTATTTCATTTTATCAAAATAACCTTCCATATTAATAAGTGGTAAATTACAAATATCTTCCCGGTTTACTTAAAGTACAGATTGTCTCATGTGGTTTGAAAAATTACAAATACCTCACTGTTAGAATTTTTTATTTAACAAAATTAACTAAAAAAAATGAAATTCGTAATTATTCTCCTATATAATAATAAAATTACCTAAATTATTAATTGAAACATATTTATAATACCATTAAAAATTGTTAATTGACTTGATGATTTATTAATAAAAGGAACGATTTGTTATGAAATTAGAAACATCATGGGGTAGAATGTAATTTTCAAAATCACAAGAGATGATTCGTATTTTAATCAAATTTTAAGAGGTGTATTAGTAATTTACCTTATTAATAAGCTATATTTTTTCATAAGTTTAATTTTGATATTTTAGAAAATTTTCATTAAACCTAATTCATTTATTATAAAATCTCACTATTTTGGCGAGAAATAAAATATAGATTTGGTAAGAATCATTTTTTTATAATCTCTCATCATTTCTTACTTATTTAACTATGCAAACAAGCGAACGGATTTCCTATTTTCACAATTTCTTTTATTTTCTCACACCAAACCTTTCCATCCAAATGGATTGTTATGATAACTTTTTCCCAATAAATGTGTGAGAGAGATTGTTATGATAGCTTTTTCCCAATAAATGTGTGTGTGTGTGTGAGAGAGAGAGAGAGAGAGACCTTGTTCAATGCAGCAAGGCTGAGAACTTTGACACCCAATTTATCAGCCCTAAGAATTGCCTCCTCTATGTGGTTGTTGATGCCTTCTTTAGCAAATGGCAAGAAATACTACACATGAAGGGTTAAAGTCCAATGTTTTATATTTGGATTACTGCTAACTACATTTAACATTGATTGAAACAAACATTCTAGGGTTGAAAAAAAGTTAAAAAATAAAAAACCTGAAAACCAAAGCGAGGTACGACCCATGTCTGTTGCAAGTAGCCTCTGAGGTTGTAGAAAGAGAACAAGAAGGTTTTAGACTTAGCCCACATCACTAGCATTACCACAAAAGTGAAGGGCCAAAGTGGCACCAAAAAGAGCCTTGCTCGAAATGGCGTCGACGCAAATGATCGGAATACGAAGGGGCTGTGCAAGGAGGATGTTATATCCACCACATGAGCCAAGAAAACAAAATCAGGGACCCTACCATTTTTACCTGCATTCATATTCAATTTACAGTCATTTCCAAAAATTGAATTTCTTATTTATTTATTTCATTGCTTTTGGTTAAATAGATTCACAGAACCGGACACATTCTTCGCCTGCCTTCTATGTTAGGTTCTATAAAATTCTCGTGTGTAGCTAGCATAGTTGAAAGAAATTTTGCTACGAGATATTAGGGCCGTAAATAAATATTGAATACACTTATGATACGATTCTATGTGTTACTGATCAATAAAACAAATGAAATTCGATGAACATATTTATTTCCTATTAATCCAACCATGTAGTCTCATCATTGCAATATAAATATATCATCCTAATATACCTAATATTTAGGGATGACAAAATTACCCGGTCCAATTATATTGGTCTCAACCCGATTTTAATAAAAAAATGTTAAGGAGAGTATTGATTAAGTAGGGTAAAGTATATAGATATGTAGGACAAAACTATTAAGATTAGGATAAAGTATGAAATCGTATTATTAAAATAGTTAAGTTGAAGTCAAGAATTCGCAAGCAAAACTTATCGGACCTGTTATTATCCATACTAATATTTACTCCAAGTGGAGGTGGTGAGGCATAGCTATTGAAGCCCAAATAGAATTTATGGGTCAATATTCCACTTAAAATACAAGCTTGCTTCTAAGCATGCACCGCACAAAATTTTATAATTAAGATATGGTCCCATTTAATATTATTTAAAAATAAATAAATTGGGATAGGATAGTTGAGAACTTCAATTCGAATAACACATACATTTATTTTGTGTTTAAATCATAAATTTGAGTACGGATTTGAAAAGGAAAAAATGAAAAAAAAAAAAAGTGTGAAAAATAGTTGAAATGCAATTATGTTTCATCTATGTTTTCTCTTTTCTTTTTTAAATTTATGATTCAAATACAATCTCAATAGTTGCATGTGAAATCTACACCACCCAATTGTATAATGGTGATATATGATTAATAAAAAAAATTCGGATAGATGATAAGATATCATCAAGCATCCAAGCCAAAGGCTGTGTTGCAGCATAAATGGCAGCTTAAGTCACAAATTACTGATCAAGAACATAAGAAAAACAGAGCAAAGGTTGAGCCACAGCTTGAGCTGCAAAACATAACTCAGCAACACAAGGCACAACAGTTCAATGTAATCTTTGGACATACCTGAATTTAAGCATATTTTTTTATGTTGCTCCCATGACTTGCTGTTGAGGGTATTGCCCAATGCATCATAGAGGGGCATAAAAAGGCAATAATTGGTCCCCATCTCTGTGTGGTGAAGACTGTGGTATCTAAAAAATCATCCCACCAAAAATAAATAAATAAAATTACTAGAATAATTTTGAACAAAATATTCTGGGAATACAACATAAACCCAACAACTTGTTAGTTTTAAAATTTAATAAAATTTAAGATAAACAGTAAAATCTGTACTTGTTGGGCCAAAGATAACAATTTTTTTAGAAGCTTATCAGTCAATCAATGGTATTTTATATTTAAAAATCTTTAAAAGACCATAAAAAGTATTATTCATAGTAAAACCTTAAATTTCCTGAGCATCATAGACGGAATGAGCACTGGCATTTGACACATATAGAAGCACATGTCCTAAGAATGATATTCGAAAAAGTAATTAAAATGTATATTTATGTACCATATTTATACAAATGAGATCAGATCATCATGTGGTTAACAATATCAAATCATCTTGATTTTTGACACAAATACCTAACGTAACGGCCTTAAATATGGATATCACCGAAATAGGTTCTGGCGTAAGCCCCACCAAGACTAATAGTATTTCTCCAATTGGTGGAATCCAAATAAAAAAATAATAATAATAATTATATAAATATGATTATTAAAACATTACAGTTGATGATAAATTACTTACGTTGGGGTATAGAGAAAGTATTTCATGAATGGAAAAGTCTGAAACAACTTATGGGGGACAATTTCAACATTGGAATGTCCCAAACATCTGAGAAAATCAAAGATCAATACATAGCCATAGATGAGGCTAATTGATCCTTGTCCAAAAAGACAAGTCCCAAGTACTGGTATCCCAATAACTGCTGTTAATATAAGATGTTCCAAAACTGCGGCATGTCCAGCTGCAATGCAATAACGGTTCATAAATAAAAACAGAAGTTGCTTGGTGTGAGTATTTAATGATACACAGATGAATCATATGACAAATCAATTGAATGGATTCAAGTATTGGGACATGCAAAAAGTAAAAGGTTTTCGGTTATGGTAGGATGTGATTATAGTTATGGTCCAACCACATTGGAATTGTTTGGTTTGAGTAGGTTCTCAAAATTTGTTTTTAGATTTATTTGTTTTTCTTGTCTTTAATGAATTTTTTATATATATTTTTAATCTAAATGTAATTAAAAAGAAAAATATATCTGAAGAAAATTTGAAAAAAAAAATTAATAAACACACAAAAACATGGAAATGTGAGTCTTTTGTTATTTTGTTTGGTTTATTTTTGCCTTTAGTAATTTCCGCACCTAACTTGTAGTCAATTTTTTTTACTTTTTAGATGTATTTAAATTAGGTGCATCTTAAAGAGTAAAAAAAGAAAAGAAAAAAGAATTAACTAATTATCCAAAAAAAAAAACAACAAAATTACAAAAATATGTTTTGAAAAATCAAACCAAATATATTGTAATTTTAATAACTTATTGAGTTGTTACTCAGAATTATGATTAGATGTGGTTGTTATTATAACGAAAGCGGTCAGCATCATGTGCACTCTTAGGAAAGGTGCATACCATAGATTGGTTCAAAAGTAATTTACAAACATAACTTTTATGGATGGAACTTTAATTTTTGAGCTTTAAAGATAGTTCTAATGAGTTGTCAGTAGATTCCATCTATAGTGATGTGATATTTTGGTCTTAATATATTTTTATTTTATTTTTTTTGTTCATTACTATGTCATTAATGCTTTATTAAAATACCAAAATTAATGGTCTAAATCATTATTGTTTATGCATAGAACTCATTCAGAATTATGTCATACCACTATTCTTATAAAGGTTTGTTACGTAATGTCAAAATATTTATAATACCGACACATATTTCACATATTCTAAACACCTTTACATATTTTTATACGGATAGCTTGTCTATAGTTTACTTGGGCTTGTGAAGTCCATCACGAGTCTTGTTTCGATAATGTGAACCGTTTCAATATATAGAACTTGTCAATTACTTTATTCCTTTAAGAAATCACATTGATCGGATATCAATAGTTACTTGATCGGATCAGATTTTTGTTAATAATTTATTTTGAAAATTTTAATTACCGTTGATAGAAATCTAATCCGATCAAGTAGCTATCGATATATAATCAACATAATTTCTTACAAGGATAAAGTACTTGACGAGTTCTATATATTAACGGTTCAGATTGTCGAATGAGACCCGTAATAAACCCCCACGGACTTTACAATAAATTCCAATCCGATCATGGACTTGAGAGAACTCAGTCCATTTTTGTATACCTTCCTAAGAGCTTTTTTAAACATTTTTTTTCCTATAATTATAAAATACAGCGATGAGTTTTTTTATTTTTATTTTTTTATTTTGAAATAAAAGAATCACAAAAAGATCAAATCATTCTGAATATATATATATTTTTTTCTACAGAATGATTAGAACATTAAATTTTTGGTTATTTGTGTTTGTTTTCTATCTAGAGTTATAATAGAGTAAATATTGGTAGATAAGGTTTTGAATTAAATGGCTTTACCTGTATAAGGCTGGGGTAGAGGTGATGAATGGTGGAGTGAATGGTATTGGGTGAAAAGATATTTTCCATGGAAACATTTATGTACCCAATAGTATACAGGCTCTGAAACTCCCATGTGGAGTACCATAACAGTAATAAAGCCTCTTGAGTCCAACAATGGAACACTTGTGAGGACTACTGGGTGGATTAAGTAGACCATGGAAGCTATGAGAGCTTGTAGAATTATGAAATTGTCCCTGTAAAATTCAAAAAAAAAAAAAGAAAACCCCATTTTATGAATCATTTGAAAAAAAAAATTTGGGTAAGAAAAGAAAAGAAAAGAAAAAGAGATTACCAGTCCCATTCTTTGTCAATCTGTTTGAAATCCACACCTTGTTGTAGAATTCGGCGATTTCGAGTGAGGAAAAGCATGTTACTGAAAGAAGTCCATAGCTGATACATGATAGATCTAAGTAGACATAAAATTAGAATATGGAGACACCATGTTTCCTTCATGGTTCCCTCTTGAGTTCTTGAATAAAAGACTTTTGCAATAAGAGGTCCATATAGCAGATACTGCATCAAAAAAAATAAAAAATAAAATAATAAAAAAATAAAAAGAGCGCAACCCCGTGTCATTGAGAAGGAAAAAAATATTGGGTTAGTGCATAACAGGCATGAAGCGAAAGATAGGTCATGGATTATAAACCTTGAAGGGGCCTAAGTTCTCCCAAGGCCAAGCTGACAAGGTTGCAACCATGTTACTCATACAATCTCTCTTTCTACAAGCAAAAAATTTCAAGTTGAGGAGAATACAATATGTTACGATATTCAGATAGAAAAGTAATATCCCAGAGAAAGAGAGAAGAGAGATGGGTATTGAAGCACTTGTCTTCCCTCTCTCTCTCTCTCTCTTAGTTTCTATCTTTGCAAGGCAACTATTATTCTCATTTCTCCAATCACCTACTTATAGGTGGGAAACAATGTGGCACTTGCCTTCAATTGCAAATAAAGATCTTGACCCTCTTTCTATATCTAGGCCCGCTCATCTGCCCCAAACTCTTTATGTAATCAAGCTCCATGAAATTCATTCATGGTGTAGTAAAAGGGTAATTTGAGACACAAACTAGTGTCTCCAGTCAATTATCCGGTCAATGATATAGATCGGACGGTTAACTTCAACCATTAGAATGATTATGTATTATCTGAACTTTTCACCTGCAAACTTCATCGCAATGAATATGAGATAATTCGTAGGGTTTCTCCTCAAATATACTGTATTTTTTTTTTTTTTTGATTGGCAAAATAAATCTTTATTGATGGAAACATACAAAGTATGAATATACTGTATTGAAAGACCTTATTAATGAATATGACAATTGACCCAATGGTCTATGTAATTATTTTTTGGAACAATAAAAATATCTAAGAAGCATGGACACAGACACGTGACGCGACACGAATACGACACGGACACGCCGACACGTTAATTTTAAAAAAATGCAGGACACGACACGTGAAGGACACGCATGAAATATATAATTTTATATATTTATTATATGTTATATATATGAATATATCATTCAAAGATAATAAAAAATACAATATAGCACTAATTCCTATAAATGTATATGATTTTTATTTTATTATTGTATCTTAAGTTGTTTTGTTCAAACTTATAATTAGTTTTACATATCTATAATCAATAGACACATGTGTTTAAACAATTGACACTTGTCCTCCAAGTGTCCAAAGAATGTCCGGGTCTTTAAAAAGATTTAAAAAATAAGACACGTTTTGAAGAGTGACACGCATGAAATATATAATTTTATATATTTATTATATGTTATATATATGAATATATCATTCAAAGATAATAAAAAATGCAATATAGCACTATTTCCTATAAATTTATATGGTTTTTGTTTTATTATTGTATCTTAAGTTGTTTTGTTCAAACTTATAATTAGTTTTACATATCTATAATCAATAGACACATGTGTTTAAACAATTGACACTTGTCCTCCAAGTGTCCAAAGAGTGTCCGGGTCTTTAAAAATATTTAAAAAATAAGACACGTTTTGAAGAGTATCGGACACGTGTCCTAAGAATCCATGCTATTGAGTGGAGAGACTAATGCAAATCATTTCTTAGTGGAAGCTTTGCTTGAAAGTATGAGATTCATCAAAGGATATTGATAACTCCTCTCCTATTCAATGAAACACCTTTGACTGAGAAGAGAGTATTCAACACCTTTGACATAAAACCCTTTTTCCTTCCTTCCCCCCCCCCCTAAAAAAAAAAAAACTCATCGATTTCATGTTTTCTTTCAAGTTTCAATCCCTTGAAAGGTTTCACTGACAAAGACTTATCGTGATTCACATATTCCATACTATGTAATTAGATACACCTCTAGTTACAACTTAAACTAATTTCATATTGGGTCTATAAATGTACCTAAAAGATTGTTGGATACTTCATTTCTTTCAACACTTCATCCCAAAATTTAAATTTTGTTAGTTTTATTTGAACACTCCAATTAATTTCAATTTTACCCCCTTGCCTACCCTAGTCCTTTTCCGCCTTTGGTTCTACCTCAACCAACAGCCAATCCGCTCTTTCTCACCACTGCCAACAATAGGGAGTGGATTGTGGAGGGCAGTGAGAGAGGTGTATAGAGACTGGCCATGGCCATGCATCCCTTCCTCCCTTCCCTTTTTTCTTAAAAAAATTATACACATACATTTTTCTGAAAAGAGTCAAAGTGGGCCACTCCCATTCATTAAAAAAAGAATTTAAATACGCATATCCTTATGAAAATACAGATAGAAAAATATTTGAAAATTTTAATTAAACACTCCCGATCCATAACAGAATAAATCTTATGAAGGGGAGGATTCACATATATTCTCTCTCTTTTACCTGAGTAGAAATAAAAATGATAGTGATATATTAAAAAAATGTAACACCACTTAACAAACATATGTCAAAGTGGAGCCCAACTAACTTTCAAACTAGTAACAAAAACTCACCGAATCTCTTTGTAACGTACACAAATTGCAAAAGTACCCCACCATTTTGTTTTTAATTTAGTCTTTTAGATTTTGAAGTCAAAAAGCATATGCAGAGTGTTGTTCCATCCTTTTCGCCGACTATTTAGAAAATCCATTCAGATTCAACGATTATACAAACTGCATAATGTATTTATACCGTTGTCAATTCTCATCTCTCCATTACAAGTTACAACTTGCAAGGTATTATAAAGAGTTTATTATTCATATTTTTTTAGGGTTTTGGTTTGAATCATTTTTTCTTATAATTTTAAATAAATTGAATTATAAAACTGCATAGTCTATTTATACCGTTGTCAATTCGCATCTCTCCATTATAAGTTACAACTTACAAGGTATTATAAAGAATTTATTATTCATATTTTTTAGGGTTTTGTTTTGAATCATTTTTTCTTGTAATTTTAAATAAATTAAATTATTTATTGTCTATAACATTCTCTTCAGCTCTTGGGATTCAATGAAATTGTTGACTTTGTGTGTAATTAAATCATCTCTTAACAACTGTTTATTTTTTTTGGGTTGAATGATTGATTTCAAATTATATTAGTAACAATTTTTATAAAAGAATTCAGATTTTGTTAATATGATTGTGGGTATTTAATTTAATTTGATTTGGTAAATAATTTTGCATTTGTTTGTATGTGTACGGACATAGAAAAACCATATTTGTTGTTAAAGAATCTAGCAAAGAAGATGATTAGAGCCACCCTGTGATCACCATCTGCAAGATAAAGCTCCTCTAGCCTTTGAACAACCGAGGACCCTTCAATGTCCAAGTCCGAGGACCCTTCAATGTCCAAGTTAGTCCTTCAATATTATAAAAATATTGTATAGACTAACTTATAGAGAGAAATTGCGTACCTTAACTCACAGGGGTGTGGTCTATTAATAATAGTCGATGACTTGCCTAGGAAGTAGTTTGAATGTTTCTGAAGTCTTATCCCAAACAATCTCCAGCTATTTAGGACTCCTATATTAATAAGATTTCATTTCCTATTGAGGTTTGCATAACATAAAACATTAATCTAGTATTTGATGAAGATTTGACAACTACCATATATGTGATAACCCATAACTATGTCACGTGGCAGTGTCTAAACACACATAATTCTTGTAGTTATTTTTATTCCCTCTCAAATGCCTCCAAACTTTCATTTTATTTGAGCACAGTAAAAGAGTGGAAGTTTTCTATTGTTCTGATAAAGATAGCCCTGTAATGTTGCCTAGCTAGAACGATACAAGGGCGTTAGGACTTATTCCAATAATGCCTAATATTGTCGAGTACTATTCCAAGAATGCCTAACCTCGTTAGGACTTATTCCAAGAATGGAAGTGATTGAGACCCCCTCCCCCCCTAACCCAACCACCTCCACACACACGTGGGGGATGGTGATTGGAGAAGGAGGAGGAGGAGAAGAAAAAAAAAAAAAAATGGCCAATCACAGGCAAAAGGGGGTCGTGGGGGTGAACCCCTGTGGGGGTCCGGATCATTTTTCTTCCAAGAATGTCTAATCATGCTAGGACTTATTCCAAAAATGACTAACCAAGCCTGGAGCTACCAAAAAACACTAACTTATTTCATGGTGACCAAAATCCTCTCGGCAGAGAATTCCCAAGTTGGATAGCAAAATCCGCTCAATAAGAAATCCTAGAGTTGGACAAACCATCAACTACCTTCTTGGCGAACAAAATCTGCTCAGCAAGAAATCCTAAAGTTGGAAAAATCACCAACTTACTACTTGTCAAGCAAAACCCGTTCTGCAGGTAATGCCAAAATTGCACAAACCACCAACTTATTTCATCGAGCAAAAACCAACTCTGCAAAGATTTTCAAATTTGGAAAAACCCTCCAACTTACTTTGTCGAGCAAAACCAGCTCGTCAAAGATTTTCGAAATTGGAAAAACCCTCCAACTTACTTCGTCAAGCTAAAACCTAGCTCGATAAAGATTTTTGAAGTTGGAAAAACCATCCAACTTACTTCGTTGAGCAAAACCCGCTCGGCAAATATTTTCCCTCCAACTTACTTCGCCGAGCAAAGTACGCTAGGCAAATATTTTCGAAGTTGGAAAAACACTCAAACTTACTTCGTCGAGCAAAACCTATTTGACAAAGATTTTCAAAGTCAGAAAAAGCCTCCAACGCCGAGCTAAAGCCCAGCTAAGCAAAGATTTTTGAAGTCAGAAAAGCCTTCTAACTTACTTTGTCATGCCACGGATTTACACGGTCCAGCTCTTGTGAATAAACCACCCAACGATGAACAAAATATAACAACTCTCATGCAAATGAATATAATATAGTCACATAATTAATACATGTGTTTATCCGATTTTATATATTCTTAGATATAACATCTAAGTCAAATGGATGTTTTGTAACTAAAAATATACATAGATGTTATAAATTAAATTGAACGCCTTGAGGCTTACATCATACACAACGGTGTAACCCTTACAAGAATGACACACGGCCAGTAAATCACATAAATGACCCATGGCCTACAAACAACTGAATCACCCTACACAGTTCCGAACACAACTTCATGTCACAGTCCACATCCACATATGTACACCTAAAAAACATTTCAGCCACGTAGGGTGAGCATAAAGCTCAACAAAGAATATTTTAAAAACTAAACATGCTCTACCAAAATAAATGATCATGATGCAATGCGTATATATAATATGCCCAAATGCATTTTCAAACCATTTAATTTCTTAACGAAATCCTTTCTTTTCAATTACTACAACCTTACGTTTAATTAAAACGTTTTCCAAGTTCAAATCATCAGATTGATATAAAATTTCTTTTCAAAAACCAATCCGGGTACCTCAATACCAACCAGCAAATATATTGCTAAATCAAATGCGAATACATCGCTAGACAACAGCAAAAACATTGTTAAAACCATTTTTCCAAACATCATGTTCCAAACCAACATAATAGTAAATAAAATGGGTAAATCTCCAAAACAAATACAACATTTTATGAAAATTTCATCCGCAGGAAACCGTAAACTGATACCCATGTAAATGTAGGCTATACAAACGGTACTATTGCTATTTTACGGATATTTCGTTCGTGGGATCGGCTCTCATGTATACGCGCGGTTTTTAGGACTTT